CGGGCGCTGTCCGGTAGCCGCTGTGCCAGTGTGCCTCCTGTTGCCCGTGTGCCTGCAGCTTCAGCCGTCGCCTCCTATCTCCTCTCCCCTCACTCTCTCTCCTCCTCCTCACTTGCCCGTTGTGACTACCACTAGCTCTGCTCATAATTGTGAACTCTAAACTATCTCTTCTTGAACTTGTGCTCAGAATGTGTGGTGACATTGTGATCCACCCTGAGCTTGTACTACTTTGCCTGCTCTGCTGATTACACCCCACTTTGGCTATGGGGGTGTGTCAGAATATTATCTTATTGTTCTAGCCTGTAGTGGGGTGCTCTATAGCGAGTACAACCCTTCTAGGGTTTGCTATTTGTATCCCCATTTCTGCTAGTTCATTCCTCTTTCTTTCTTCTAACTTTTGTCAAAAACGTGGGTGGGGACGAATGTCCCCACGTCCCTCTTTTGTAGGCAAAAGAGGGCGAGTAGCGCTTTGGCGCTACCTTTGCTGTGTTGGCCACGTACCCCTTTTCACAATACAAAATTTTAGAAAGTGTTACATTTCATTACACTTTCAAAAATTATCATATTGTGAAAGTCTACTTAGGTTGACTTGCAAAGGCAGCGTTATCATTTTATATGGGTCTTCTGAGGCAAGTGCAGACGGGGCTGGCGGTGCCGTTCAATTGATAGCTGGTGCGTGGCGGGTGAAGGAGCCGCCGAAGGATCCTGCAACTGCGTGGAGAGGGAGATGAGCTGATCATGCGCGATTGTAACGTACATCTCCTTCGCGCCGTCGCTGCGCCATCGGCCCATGCGTTTGAAGAGCCGGTCAGGAACTCTGAGGCTTGCCGCCGCAGTGGCTGCGCCTTTGCGGAACGAGTGGGTTCCGATGTGCGCGACATCCAGTCCAGCCTGCCTGCCGGCCGCGAGACACCAGTTTCTGATCGTGACGTAGGACGGCGATTTGTCGTCCGGCGTGGCTTGCGAGTTCTTTGGAAAAACCCTTATTAGCGGTCCATGGGGCACCTTTGTGAGGCCTGCGATACGTATGAAATTGCGTGTGCACCGCACTGGGCAGTATGGGCCGGAAATTGCTGCCACTGGGATCCATACACCCCTCCCTTCCTGGTCCGTCTTGGAGTGCAAGATGAGCAGCCACATTGCCTTCTCCTCGAACTGTACATCATTCCACTGGAGCGATACGAGGTCAGAGTAGCGCAAGAACGCCGAAAACATGAGAAGCGGAATCAATCCTTTCTGGTATTCCGAAGGAATTGATGATTCAAGGAAGGGACGGGCCATGTCGTGCACTTGATGGAGAGATATTGGTTCTTTGGTCCTGGCAGGCCGAGGACCATGTCTTTTGGCGAACTCTCGCACTTGCAAGGTGAATGGTCCGATCGTGGGGGAGGCTTCGCCTGTCATGCTGTGGGCGAAGGCCACTGCCGAACATGTGAGGTTTATCGCGGAGAGAGTTGCCTTGTTGTTGAGCGCATGGATGAGATACAACGCGAGTGTCAGGTCGGTTGCCGGTAGGAAGTCAAGCTTGACTTTGGTACAGAAGGGGCGAAATCTCTGCCAATAAGGTTGGTACGTCTCGATTGTAGATGGTGCGCGAACGTGACTAATTACGTGCATAAGTTGTTTCTGTAGTTTGCCCAACAGTCCTGAAATGACACATTAATGGATTGTATTAGATTGCATAGTTTACACGCAAAGCAATGATTGGGCTATGAGGCAATCCGAGACCAGAAAATGCAGTGGTGTGTGAACCTGCCCGAAGGCATTGACTGCCTTGGGCAATGGCAAGGTGTGCCACTACAGCTGGGGCCCACGCTTGGGTGGACGGTTGGAGAAGCGGCCACCATGACGCCCCGATCCACTGGGGAACGACCAGCGTGAGTTCCGCGTGCGTGAGTTCGGCATGGCGAAGTGTAGCGGGGACTAGGTGTGGCGGCGGGAAGGCAAAGCATCTCTCACCTTTCCAAGAAATGGAAAATGCATCGACAACGAACGCGTCGGGATGCGGTATCTTGGAGCAGACGCGCTGAACTTGTTTGTTCCGGGCGTTGGCAAATAGATCAATTGTGTGGGGCCCCCAACGACGGTCTAGAAGGCGAAACCAGGGCGCGTGTAGGGAGTAGTCATCATGATCCTGCAGCTTGGATAGGTCATCTGCCTGGATGTTGAGCTCTCTCGGAATCCATTCAATCGCGAGGCGTGTGGTGTTGCCGAGGCAGAACTGGATGATCGCTTGGCATGTCAGCGTAAGGTCCGCCTGACGGGATCCCCCCTTGCGCAAGATGAACATAACTGCCTGGTTGTTGACCCGGACGAGGACGTGAGCACCTGCAACTTGGGTTGCGAACGTCTGCAGTGCCCAGAGCACTCCCTCGAGCTCTCGTTGCGTGCTGGATGTGCGGAGGAGCTTGCGTAGCATGCATGCGCTTGCTTCGCATGATGCACTGGGGAACTTGGCCAAGGTGGCACCCCAGCTGTGTGCGCTTGCGTCGACGTGGATCACGGCATCAAACCGTTGACTCTGGTGGAATGGGGCACCATTGAAACGATCGAAGTGGACTGTCCAAAACAATAGCTCCTCCATCGCTACTTGTGACAATTTGACCCTCGCGTTCCATGACCGCGCGGAGTCGATCAAGTGCAGCAGCTCATGGCTGAAGGCACGCGCCGTCGTGCCTAGTGCGAGCAACATGGAGCTTAGAAATCCGGTGATTCGGGCTATCTTGCGAATCAGCACTTGTCGACCCGATTGCCCTTTTTTAACGAGTAGGTGGAGCTCCTGCAGTAGTTGCTCACGCCGATCTTCTCCAATGAGGAACATCCCTCGTTCCGTGTCGAGCTCCATCCCCAGGAAGCGCAAGTGGTGTGTAGGATGCAGGTTTGACTTCTTAGCATGTATCACGAATCCCGCCGCCTTCAGGTCTTGGAGAACTTCGATGCACGTCGAACGGGCTTGCGTCTCGGAATGGCACAGGAAGAGTAAATCGACCACGTACGGAATTACGCGCACTCCGCGCGCGCACCATCTCTTGGCCAGTTGCTTGATTAGCTGGGTGAAGACGAACGGGGATGTTGCCAAGCCGAAAGGTAAAGATGTGAAGCAATAGAACTTGCCATCCAGTTGAAAGCCCAAATACCTCCAGCAGGATGAGTGGATTTCGACGTGGTGGTAGCCTGACTTCAGATCGATGGTGAACATCCAGTCGTTTGGGCGAATGATCTCCGCGACCCGACCCAAGCCCTCGTACTTGAACTTAGGAACTTGGAGGTGAGCGTTGACCTTCCGTAGGTCCAGAATGAGACGGCATTTGTCTCTTTGCTCGACAACATTGAGCGGGCTAATGCATGTCAGTGCTGCCTTCGACGAGACCTGTACCGCGGCTCCTGACGCGATGAGGTCGCTGACGGCTCCTTGGGTGAAAGCCATGTGTGCTTGAACCCCTGCGTGATTGAGGGCTTCGAAGGGGGTTGGCTCCTCGCCCTTCCATGGTAGCCAGTACCCTTTAGCAAGGATGGAAATGATGAAACTGCTGTCACACCATGATAGCCACCAGTGGAGGCTGTTGCGCAATCGCCTTCGCGTGATGAACACCATGTTGTCCGTTATTGCATGCTCGTATGGGTCCCAATGAGCGTCGTGCCACTCGCCTTCTGCAAACGGCGGGCAACCGAGGTTGTAGGGAGGAACAAGAACCAAGGTCGATTAGACGCGATAGATGGCAAACACTTTGACCACTTGTCGGCCATGACGCCCTTGCATGGTTTTTTTTTTTTTTTTTTTTTTTTTTTTTTACTTGGAAGTCGCTTTATGGTGAGATCGATGTGCTCGCGTCCCTAGGTCCCATGACCTTGTTTATCATGATGCCGTCATTGGCCTCCTTCTCTCTCCCTCTCTCTTTCCTTCTCTCTCTCTCTTTCTTTCTCTCTCTCTCTCTCTCTCTCTCTCTCTCTCTCTCTCTCTCTCTCTCTCTCTCCCTCTATCCCTCTCTCACCCTCTCTCTTTCTCTCTTTCTCCTACTCTCTTCCTACTCTCTCTCTCTCTCTCTCTCTCTCTCTCTCTCTCTCTCTCTCTCTCTCTCTTTCTCTCTCTCTTCACTCTCTCTCTGTCTCTCTTTCTCTCTCTCTCTCTCTCTCTCTCTCTCTCTCTCTCTCTCTCTCTTTCTCTCTCTCTTCACTCTCTCTCTGTCTCTCTTCTTTCTCTCTCTCTCTCTCTCTCTCTCTCTCTCTCTCTCTCTCTCTCTCTCTCTCTCTCTCTCTCTCTCTCTCTCTCTCTCTTTCTCTCTCTCTTCACTCTCTCTCTCTCTCTCTTTCTTTCTCTCTCTCTCTCTCTCTCTCTCTCTCTCTCTCTCTCTCCCTTTATCTCCCTCTCTCTCTCTCTCTTTCTCTTCTTCTTCTCTTCCTCATTCCGTGTTTCTCTCTCTCCCTCTCTCTCTCTCTCTTTCTCTCTCTCTCTCTCTCTCTCTCTCTCTCTCTCTCTCTCTCTCTCTCTCTCTCTCTCTCGTTTTTTTTTTTTTTTTTTTTTTTTTTTTTGGATTTGCTTTTCTCAGCCCTTATTTCGTAATTTACACCTAGCCAAGCTTCCTTCATGGCTGCCTTCTTTGAGGATGGGCTTGCCTTTGATTTGCCATGCTCTCGTTCCCTCCTCTTCTCTCTCTCTCTCTCTCTCTCTCTCTCTCTCTCTCTCTCTCTCTCTCTCTCTCTCTCTCTCCCTCTCTCTCTCTCTCTCTCTCCCCTCTCTCTCTCTCTCTCTCTCTCTCTCTCTCTCTCTCTCTCTCTCTCTCTCTCTCTCTCTCTTTTTTAATTATTAATCAACTTTTATTATTCCACACAAAGGCATACAATCCTAGGCATACGGCCTATCCAGCCCCTATGGCTATGCTTGATTCCTGGCCCCCTTGGCCTGAGCTACCCTCTAAGGCTCCTGGCCAGCCTACGCACCACCGGTGCATCCACCTACGCCCCCCGGCATAGTGGCAAGGGGCACCGCCCCATGGGTCCTCTCACACCACGGGTGCGGGGCCTTGTGCGCCACACCTTCCCATAGGGCAATTGTTTGCCATGTGTCCGGGCTGGCCACAACAGAAGCACACGCCCTTGAAGCGGGGCTCGTGGCAGCTCACGGTTGGCATGCCCTTGCTCTCCGGTTCGCCATCTCGAGCGGGAAGGCGACCTCCGCGGGCGAAGCCGGTGCGTGCACGCTTGAGGGCCGCCACGTCGGCTACCGCAAGCTTGTAAGAGCGCGACGTGAGGACGCTCTTGGCTTGGTAGAGCTGGAACCGATCCGCCGCCTCAAACCCGGCCTCGTCCGCCACCAAGAGCACCTCGAAACGTTTGTTGATGAGCGTTTCGACTTGCGCCACGTTGGAGAGTGCGCCCTCGACGTCGCCGTTGCGGAGCTTGAACTCGACATGCCTCAGGTGCGCTTGAATTGCAGAAAATACCTCTGCCTGGTCGCGCACTCCTTTGCGCATGAAGGTAGTAGCTGTGGGTGACGGGTTAAGGGGAGGTAGGGGGGGTGCGGGTGCAAGAATGCGACGGCGGGCAAGGTTGTCGGGGGCCTCACCGTCGTCATTGTCCGAGTTGTCGCTGTCGTCAATTGCAGGAACTTGAACTGGTTCAGTAGGCAGGGCGGGCGCAGGAACGGCGGTGGTGGCGCGGGCGACCTTGGTGGTGCGAGTTGCAACTGCCTCTTTCTGCTTATCCGTTTTTACGGACGCAAAATTATAGTTCGTCGATGTAGCAATTGTACCGGGCGCCTGCTGCTGCAATAGCGAGAAAAGCGCTTGCAGCTGCTGCGCAGTCAAAGGGGGGGGGGGGGGGGGGGGGGGGGGGCGTTGACTTGCGCGACGTCAGCGGAGGGTGCCGCGCGCTGGCGTTTCTGGGTCGTGGGCCCGGGTTGACCCGCGTCAGCCGCGGTCAAGACGGCAGCCGCGTCAGCGGCCGTCATCATCTTCTCCAGCGCGCGTGCCTGCCTGCCTGGCACGCGCTCTTCAGCAGTCACGCGCGGCTGCTATGCAGCCGCGCGTGTGTCTTCTGACGCAGCGCGAGGGGTGCCGCCGAGCAGAACTTCGGCAGCCGAGGGTCCCTCGGGAGAAATTTCTTCCGAGCTCCGTTTCCCGCGGCGATCGTTTCCCCCGACGGGAATTGAAGTTTCTCCCGCGTTACCAGGGCTTGAAGTGGTCGCGTTGTCGCGGTTAAGCGTCGAGTTCGCCGGAGCCATGTTAGCTAAGTTGTGCTGAATGATATCGTTGAGGAGTGTTGTCCGGGCTGTGAAGCGCGGAAGGGATTGTGTCTTCGCCAGAGTGACGAGAACGAGAAATTAGAACTACAAATTGAGAAATGAAAACGTGGGTGGGGACGAATGTCCCCACGTCCCTCTTTTGTAGGCAAAAGAGGGCTAGTAGCGCTTTGGCGCTACCTTTGCTGTGTTGGCCACGTACCCCTTTTCACAATACAATTTTTTAGAAAGTGTTACATTTCATTACACTTTCAAAAATTATCATATGTATTCGACACGGCATTACTAGTACCGGAAAATACGACAATGCTTCTGAGTTTTTGAAATGTTGTATCGTACACCATTTCAGCAATACCATAACATAATGTGGCACATATTCCACATGCAAATGTACTGCATAATCTACCATGTGTAACTATAATCTAGCATATTGAGAGTGCACCGATGGAAGTCCTGAAATGACCAAATCAAAGAGGTTTCATTTCAGATGAGTCTCATCATGAGACCAAATGTCTGGTAAAAAAAACTCAGATGAGACCAAATGTCTTGTCTGAAAAACCTACCCAAGTGGTTGTACCTACTTACCGTCTCCCCCCGGATATACCCCCATGGGGGGCAATAATAAAACAGGTTTTTTCATGGGGGTGGGCTTATAATCGAGTAAATTTATAAGCGCCGGCGTTTATAAAATGACATACATATTTTTTTATATCTTTTAACACCAAACTGTAGGTCTCGTGCTTGCCTTTTCAATCGAGTCGAAGTTACATGGGATCGTCTGTGAAATTCTCGCGCGCGCTGGGAGATACACCCAATCTGACTCACATCCAGCTCCTGACAGGTCCTGCTGACTGGACCCGCATCCAGTGCAGGGTCCGAATGTGAAGGGAACCGAATCTGCAACATATCCGCCTGCTAAAGTAAAAATCGTTACAGCTTTTTGAACACATTTCAAATTTTAAAGTTTACGTGCGCTTATAATAAAACAAGTTTTTTCAAGGGGTGCGCTTATAATCGAGGAGGGGATATAAGCGCCATATGCCAATTAGAAGCGCCAGGCGCTTATCCTAGGGTGGCGCTTATATCCGGGGGGAGACGGTACCTGATACTCCCAACCCAAGCCCAATATTAATCTCAGAAACATTCCCCAACCCACCTCTCTCTCTCCTTCCCTCTCCCAAAACTATGTTCAACCTGCTGCAAAACCTTTGTCTGCTCAGCTGGGAGACAGTCACATCCAAATCCCTTACCAGCTGGACTCACCTGCACTCCATTTCCAGTCTCAACCAGCCAACACCGCAGCCTCTCAGAACTCTCTGGCCTCTCATACTGCTCTCCGCCCTTAAAAACGTCTCTCCAGCCCCCCATAACTCCTCACCAGCCTCTCATAACTCCTCTCCACCCTCTCATAAGTACTCCTGCAGCACTCCAGCAGATTCAATATCATGTCACGTGTGACCTCTTCTCACGCCCAGCAGCAGCTGAACCAAACCACAGACACTGGCCTTCCATCCATGCCTTCGTCTTGCTTCTTCCGTGTCTTGGTCCTTCACCCTGCATTGCCCCTGCACAAACTGCATCCGTATTTCAGCCTCTCCTTCCGTCCCTATTCCTTCACCTACATTCTATCTCCATTATCTCATTCCGCGTCCCAAGGGTGTGGTTGGCCTGCTCCCTGCCACGGGCGTGCCAGGCTGGCTCCCAGCTACACTGCCGCCCGATCTGATCTGAGCGAACTCACGAAGCATCGCTAGCAAAGCTCGCGAATCCGAATCCGGCTTGCTGTTACCCGCGAGTTTCACCAACGGCGGTAAACACCCCTCGCTGAGGATTTCGCTCATCGCGTCGTCGCCATCGGCCTTCGCCAACGAAAGTAACGTTCCTGCCGAAAGCTCCGCCGCCTTTTCGGAACCAGATTCCATAATCCCGATAAGGGTAAACTCCACGTCTTCCTCCTTTCTCAACGCATAAACACCCTGCGGGTACTTAACTAACGCGCAAAGCAACACCGCCGCTTTTTCCTCCACTCCCGCCTCGTCCTCCCCTTCTAGCAGCGCAAACACTTGGCGAACCAGCCCGTGTTTAATTGCGTCCTCCGCAGCTTTCGGAAATAACGACAGGTTGTAAAGCGCAAGGCAGCAATCCTTCTTGGTGCGCGCGCACGTCGCCTTACGGAGGAGATTAATCAGCGGCGGGACAGCTCCAGCCGACCACACAACCTTCTTGTTTTCCTCCGCATTCGATAGCGCGAAGAGTGCCGCCGCGGCGTTCGATTTCGCCACCTCAGTCGCCTCGAACGATCCGTCCGGTCTAGGACTCATCAACGAGCCGTTGCTTGCATCATTAGCACCCCTCGGAGTTAAACACATCCCGCCGCGCGATGTCTTTAAAACTTCGACCAGGTTCCTAACGCCGCCGGCGGAGACGACTTCCATGGCGCCGTCCCATTGAAGAGAGAGGTAGAGTGTCGCGGCCGACGCTTGCTCGACGATCGGACCGTCCGTTGACAGCAGCATCTGCATCAACGGTCGGATGCCCCCCGCGGCGACCAATCGCGTGCGATTCTCCGGCGCCTCTTTCAGCGCGATCCTCAGCGTATGAACCGCCTCACGACGTTGTGCGACGTCGCCCGTTCGCAGAGCGTCGATTAAAGGTCGCATCTCAGTAACAGAGCCCTGCTCGCTCGTGCGCCGGCTTCGTCGCGTCGGAGTCGCGCTTAGAAACTGCTTCGAATACGGCACCGTCTCCTGCGGCGACGCGGATCCGCGACGCGACCCCTGACGCTGCGCCCTTCCCGCGTTACCCCCCGTGTTTCCAGCCAAGAACGACCCGAGCGCTTCGTCGTTCTTCGCATCTTCATCCGCAGACGACAGCCACGGGTCGCTGCTATTCCGAGGCAGCATCCTCGGGCTCGCAGAAGCGTCGCACGGAGTTGCAGGCGACAGCTCCCCTTTCCTACGGGGCGACATCGTCCGTTGAAGAGGGCCGTCGTTCGCACTTGGCCGAAGATGCTTAGGAATAGCTGGCGGCATGTTCGCAGCGGCGGGACCGGCGGAAACGTAGGCGTTAGCAGAGGAGGAATTGTTGAGTTTATTAGGCGTCTCTACCGCGGCAGGACCTGAACCGCCTGCTGAGCTGCCCGTGGTCGAAGCGCCTGCAGCGGAGCTGCCGTCACTACTGGATTGCATGGAATGGCGCCGCTCGAGAACCGACAGCGGGGATATTCTTGGCGACGCCGCGCTGCCTCCGCCGCCGGTCGCGGCGGAGCTCTCGGCGGAACCTGCGGCTGCGCGATCCGCTGCCGCCGCTGCTGCTGCCCGAGCCTTCGCCAGATTGAACTGTTCTCCAGAAGCGCCGGGGGATGGCGGAATCGACGGGTTGCGCGTATTCTCCGCAGCTGGCGTCAGCGGGCTCGACGGGCGGAGAGGCTTGAGCGTGACCATGTGAGATTTACACCAATCGGAGATGAGCTTCTGAAGCGCCTCGTTGGGAGTGAGCATCTGGTGGGCGAGCGGCTCGCCGGTTTTGGGACAAGTGGACCTTCCTTGCGCGAACCAGCGCTCGATGTAGACGCGCTCGAAGCTTTTGCCGGAGCTGATTATGACGGGGTCGCGCATAACCTCGCTAGAAAGTGGGCAGATAAATTCTTGAGGGAAGGAAACGCGTGGGGAGGGGATGGAAGCCGCCGGAGGCCTTTGAAAGGCGGACTCCTGCCGTAGCCAGTCAACAGCCGCCATTGTTGCTGACGGTCAGAGATGATAAAGAACAAGTGGTCCAGCAGCACACGGAGCTAAACGAGAAACCCGATCATCTGACGAAGCATGAAGTATATTGATGATGGTACGCTGGATCTAAAACGCCAGAGCTGGAAGAGTAAGGCACAAGGTTTGGTAATTCCTTGTGAAGGTATGCGACACTTTTCGACGGAGCGCGTCTAAACGACTAGAAAGAAGGTGCAGCAAGGAACCTGTCTAGCATAGTACAGTACTGTATTGCCCACCTAAGAGAGAAGTTTGCTCTAGAATGGGCGTTGTCGCGATGCTAGCTTCTGTAGCGAATGGCTTGGTCGGACTTTATGCTGGAGGGAGAATTATAAAGATGCTCGTTCTTACGACTCATGCATCCTCCAGACTTGAAAATGGAGGGAAAGAGATGGAGGCCACAAGATGCACTGGCTGCCGTGCTTGTGGATGAGAAAACGGCGAGAGGATACGCGACAGAAAACCTGCAATTGGTTTCTTCCGCAGTGAGGCCAACTGAAAGGCTTGAATGCGGGAAACGGAGAAACCGGACCGATGTAACTGAACTGATGCTTGTATGCACGATGCTGCACGGTCTGAAAGGAGGAGCTGGGAAGGGAAGGGAGCGAAGGGGTGGGTGCAGGGCTGTCGATTGGTTTGGAGCCAGAACTTGAGAGGCTGAGGTGCCCAAAAAGTTGCCCTGAAATTTACGGGCTGAGAGCCAACCTGGCACTTCAAATCAGGGCTACCAACTTTTCTGCACTTTTGCTAAGGAAAACCTAAATCTCTTCGGGTCCGTATCCTAGGCAACTACTAAGAGCCAGCTAGGCAATAGTCTGAGGTACGAAACATGTTGATGGATTTGACGGGGATGGGAAAAGGAAGTAGGGGAGTGGCTGGGAGGAGGTTGGGGGACTGGTGAGCGAATGGGAGGGAGGGAAGTATTAGTATGGGACGGTAAGGGCTAGCCACGGGATCTGCACTTGAAATCCGGGTTAGGCCCACAACCAGCACTTTGCGGGAAAGAGCTGCCCTCAAAGCCAACCCTTAAACTTCGGAATCTGGGCCAAACCCAACCCTTAATGTTCAGGGCATTAAGGGCATTTGCCCTTGAATCGTCAGCCCTGGGTGGGTGGGAGGGAGGGAAGGGCTGTGGGATGCAGGCTGTACTCTATGAAAATTACCCTGATTTGGCAGAAGAACGTGGTGTAAGACTATGACGCGTTCAATCCAAAAAGGGTAATTTGAATCGTCGACTCCAGAAGACTCAGGCTTTAGACTTCCCCCAATCGATTCGAGATGCTTGAGAATATGAGTGCTACCCGCCCCCAGCTCCGAGTCCTTCCTTCTCTCCACCCAGTGTCGGTCACTAGTGATCTGATGGGGGAGTCAAGCCTCCTCCTCCTCCCATGCTTCCAATAAATCACGTGGGCCTGTTTTGGGAATCTGTGGCGCTTAGATTCCAATGACGTTTAGTGGAGTGGAGTGCTGTGAATTTTAAGGTGTTTCGCTGGTTTGGTTCGAGATTGGTTGGGCTGGTTGCTTGGGCGCACCAACACACAGTCACCACGAGGTTACAGTGCAGCCATGAAATCCGCGGCGTGAGCATAGCCACAAGACGACCGAGGGCTGACCTGTCTTATCTGTTCCAGCAGCCCCTGCGCTGCGATACTGTCCGTCGAACAGACAATTCTTGCGCGCGCCATGCAAGCCAACGTCGAATTCTGTAGTTCACAGTTTGTCGGATGTGGAATGCCAAGAAGTGCCAACTACTGTATCGAATTTTAAAATCGGACGATTGTCATTGCTCAACATACTTTGCCGTTGCTCGATCGAAGGGGGTCTATTGGTCGATTCGATAGATATCCACTCTGGTTTGGTTTGGGTTTCACCCTCTGTACTGTAGCACATAGCCCACACCACCCCCCCAACCAAGCAAGCGGCCAAGCACATATTCTGCGCCAAACAAGTGGTCTCCCCCCCCAAAAAAGATCCATTTCAGTCCCGTCCGCAGTTGCTTGTACACCCTTTTTCTCACTACACTGAACTGTGCCGAAATGGTGGAAAACCTTGTTATCTTTGATCTGTCAGATTGGACCATACCAAGACCTAACTTGACAACCGCTAACCGTGCTTTTTCCATCCGGAGTTCACTATAGCCGAGTTTACAATGTCAAGAAAAACGTGTAGTAGTGGTAGTGGTGGTGGTGAATCACGACGTTGATTCGTGCGAAAAACGTACACCAAACGCACCTTACACTCACCTACGAAAAACATTAAACAGAATTGTATAAATGCGTTTCGCCACGGGCAACTGAGAACTTCGAAGGTTCATGTTCGGATTATCTTGTGATAGTACGGATGAAAACCCTTGTTGAGTCCAGGTAACAGCGGTTTCTGAATAATTATGAACACATTTTCTCTCCAAGTTTAAAACAGTCGTGTTATTTTTAGTAAAATATTCGATGGAGCGGACAAAAACAATCGGCAGCTGCCAGTATCAAGCTGCAAATAGGCGATGACAAATTCTAGGGATAGTAATTTATCAAGCATCAAAGTGTAGCCGTACAATAGTTCCTCTTGCGGCAAGAGAATGGTCAGGGCAGTGAAGGATGAAGTGGAAAGAAATTGTGAAGCATGATGTGTAGGGCGGGATGCCCTGACGTATCTTGCATTTGGACGATTTTTACAACTCTATATGTGTGGTCCGTGGTTGCGCTAACCCCCGAAGGGCAAGGATTCGTGGTCAGAATTAATGCGATCAGCAAACCTGCGACAGCAAATCTCGGAGAGTGTGGTGAGAAAAACTCACAGAAAAATGTGTCACGTGGAGGTGACAGTAGCCGGCCAATAAGAGGTGAGGAATAAGTGAGTCTGACGATGACGTGACGCGATGCATCGCAGCTGTATTTTCCACTTCCAACAAAACATGCCATCCGTGCCAGCATGTGCATGAATCAGAAGCAGCCGCAATTGATAGAGGATGCCATCCTAGGTGAGCCTTGGCAGCTGGCAGTTGTACTTCGTAATACACGTGATGTCCAGCCTTATTCTGTGCATCTGTAATAGCGCTCCTAAAACTAGGGACATCGTGCGTTCGAAAACAGAAACGGTACATCGTTTAGAGTCACCTATAATGCGTACATATGGAAAAAGACACATCAATTACAGAGTTACCCAGGCGCACCAACTGCGTACATATGGAAAAATACACATCAATTACACAGTTACCCAGACACACAAACTGCGTACGTATGAAAAAATGCACATCAATTATACAGTTATCAAGGAAAACCAAGGTAAGTAACCGAAGAAACTCAGGAATCCAAAAAAAAGTGTACACTCCCTTTTTTCCCTTGGTAAACTTGAAAAATGCCAGCTAAATAACAGTTAATTTTAAAGTCACTCTAATGCTAAAACAGGATGAATGTTCACTACGTTAACAACTACGCATTTTGAAGTCCACCCTTGCTAACACAAGTAAAAAGATACACATCGATTAGTCAAATGATGCAAAACAATTGAAACTCAAAAGTTTTTTAAGAATGGCGAATACATATGTCAGAACATTATAGCTTATACTTTTCTGTAGGCTGTAGTGGGGTAGCCCATAAGGGGTACAACCCAATTACGGTTAGTACTTGTACCCTACTGTTTTATAGTTCATTCATTCTCGTTTCAGTTTTCACATGGTATAGAGCGGGTTCCCTCGTGGGAACGCTTCCTAGGGCCCACCCAATCGATTTTTTTTTTCCTGCCCGGAGCGCGCTTCGCTCCTCCACGAGCCGCGCCCCGCGTGCCCTCCCTACCGTCGCGCCCTCCCTAGGCCCCTTACGGCCCCGTCGCGTCGCCCTTAGCGGCCCCTCTGACGGCCCTTCCAGCCGCCCTTACGGCCCCTCGCGCCGCCCTTACGGCCCCTCGCGCCGCCCTTGCGGCCCCTCGCGCCGCCCTTCACGGCCCGTCGCCGCCCTTCGCGGCCCCTAGCGCCGCCCTTACGGCCCGTCGCCGACCTCCGCGGCCCCCCTCGCGCCGCCCTTCACGGCCCGTCGCCGCCCTTCGCGGCCCCTCGCGCCGTCCTTACGGCCCGTCGCCGACCTCCGCGGCCCCTCGCGCCGCCCTTCACGGCCCGCCGTCGCCGCACGTCAGCTCCGCACGCCGCCATTGCGACCCTTCGAGCCGTCCGTCGGCCCGCCGTGCGCCGCCCTTGCGGCCCCTTGCGCCACCCTACCCGGCCCCGGCGCCTACTCCTGTAGCCCCGGCGCCGCCCTTCCCGGCCCCGACGCCGCCTCACCCGGCCTCGCCGCCGCTCCACCTGGCCTCGCCACCGCTCCACCTGGCCCCTCGAGCCGCCTTTTGCGGCCTCCTCACGGCCCCACGGCCGTCCCTGAGTCAGGAGCCGCCGTCGCCGAGCCGCCCAGCAGCTGAGCCGCCGAGCCGCCCAGCAGCCGAGCCGCCGAGCCGCCCAGCAGCCGAGCAGCCGAGCCGCCGAGCCGCCGAGCCGCCCAGCAGCCGAGCCGCCGAGCCGCCCAGCAGCCGAGCAGCCGAGCCGCCGAGCCGCCTTGCAGCCGAGCCGCCCACACCGGTGAGCCGCCCGAGCCGCCCTGTCTGGTAAGAGCAGCGCCTCTGCCACTGCACTGCCCTTATCCTACTGTTCGCGCTGCTAGTCTACTACTGTCATGGCTACCCCTAGTGTCCTCCCCTTTGACTATGAGGGTCGGGCCATTGACTTTGACGTCTGGATAGATGACCTGCAGCTTTTCTTACAGTGCGATAGTGCAGACGGTCTCTCCCTCTTTGACCTCACCTCTGGTGCGTCTCCTGCCCCTGCTGCTGATGCTGACGCCACTGTTCGCTCATAGTGGGCCACACGCGATGCTGCTGCACGTCTTGCTGTGCGTCGCCACCTGCCTACCTCTGAGCGTGCGCACTTTAGCCAGTACAAGAGTGCTCAGACCTTGTATGATGCTGTAGTTGCACGCTACTCCTCCCCTGCCACT